ATTTTGTAGCTTTGTGCTTAATTAAAAACAAACAAGCTATGTATAAATGTAAAATCTTCGATTACATAACGTATTTTTCAGACTAATTGTCGTCTAGATATTTTCTTATAGATTATATTTTGATTTTTTAAATTCAATACTGCAACGTATGCTATTTAACACCGTTTTTCTTATTTTGATTAACATGAGAATTTGTTCAAGTTAGTGTGTATTTATACAACTTATACCAATTATTAGGTTTCGTATTTTACACTCTTATGCCCTGTGTATTAAGCGATTTAAAAACATTGTGTAGCGTTTCTGTAGTTTCCATAATGTACAATCAAATACAAAATGTTTCACATAAAAAAAGTTTTGTCGTTCTTCTGTAGATTTTCACGCTTCGTGTTTTCAACTCTTCACGCCACATGTTAGTAGAGTACTAGATCAATGACAGTATGGTTTGTTTGTTTGTTTTGAATTTCGCGCAAAGCTACACGAGGGCTATCTGCGCTAGCCGTCCCTAATTTAGTAGTGAAAGACTAGAGGGAAGGCAGCCAGTCATCACCACCCACCGCCAACTCTTGGGCTACTATTTTATCAACGAATAGTGGGATTGACCGTTACATTATAACACCCCCACGGCTGTGAAAGGGAGTTTGTTTGGTGGGATGGGGATTCGAACCCACGACCCTCAGATTGCGAGTCGAGGGCCCTAACAGAATGGCAAAACTGTAACGATATCTCGTATTTCCAGCCTGAATGGTGTCTTATGCAAAACATGGACTAAACAGCAAAGCTAGTTTCCAACATTTCGGCATTGCCATCTCTGATTTAGAAATGCTGGCCAAACAGAGAACAAACAGTCAGCATCACTTGCCGCCTATACAACTACAATAAACTAAATAGCGAAATTGATAGTCGCGGTTCCATAGCTGAAAATGAGGAGCGTATTAAACAGCATACTGCGGCTTGAACCCTGGACTTTTCGATCCACATCGCGGTCACGACTTTTATGAAATTTTGATGTTAAACATTAAAATAAAAAGTCCAGTCCAGACACAAGCATGGCCTAGTAATTAGGCTATCGGATTAGGTACCCGAGACAGAGACCCAACAGGATTCAACTCCAGTCCAGACATAAGCGTGACCTAGTATTTGGTGTATCGGATTAGGTACCCGAGACAGAGACCCAACAGGATTCAACTCCAGTCCAGACACAAGCATGGCCTAGTAATTAGTCTATCGGATTGGGTATCCGAGAGTCTTTGATTCGGAACAATGTGTTACTAAACATATTCGTCGCGTTTTAAGCTATGGATACGTTATAAGAGTGACAGTCAAACTCACTATTATTTTAAGATGCAGATTCTAAAGACTGATTGCCTTCCCTTTGGTCCACAGTTCAAAATACGGTTGCTGATACGATTGCTAACATGAGGAGCAACAATAAATCAACCAAAATATAAAAATCCATCGCTAACTGTATACGTAACAATGCATTAACGATAAATACAACATATAATTGATATTATTATGAGCAACTTAATATAAAACTTAACATTTATGGCTTAAAAGCATAAACAAACAATAAAAGTATGACATCTATTAACAAAATAATGAACGAAAATTTCAACCTCACACTTAGTGCATAAAGATTCGACGATGTCATTGGTTGTTTTGAAGAAGAAAACTTGATGTCATTCATTACTGTTTCTAAATGTTTCTTCTGCACCAAATAAGTTTAGCACTTTCAGGTGTGAGTGCATTATAAAGGCAACTCTTATTCAATTATAAAACAGGATAAAATCCTTGTAGCGACAGGTGATGCTTACCGTCTGTCTCCCCCTCTTGTCGGTCGTATAAGATAATAGAGGTTTATATTTGAGCCTTAAGTTTCTTTGATCTGGCCGTTTAGCCCAGTGCACGTAAAATTTGGCGACACACTACTACATTAATGTTATGGATGAAAAGTTTGACGGCACAATACCACATTAACGTTATGAATGAAAAGTTTGACGACACATTACACATTAATGTTAGGGATGAAAAGTTTGACGACACATTACACATTTATGTTAGGGATGAAAAGTTTGACGACACATTACACATTAATGTTAGGATGAAAAGTTTGACGACACATTACACATTAATGTTAGGGATGAAAAGTTTGACGACACATTACACATTAATGTTAGGGATGAAAAGTTTGACGACACATTACACATTAATGTTAGGGATGAAAAGTTTGACGACACACTACTACATTAACGTTAGGGAAAATATTCTATTAAAGTTCGGTTAACTCCACATAATTTTGATCTATGTATAGTAAATGGATTTGTTGAAACCCAAGTATAAAACACATTTTATGATCTCTTTATATAACATACCCAAGTATAAAACACACTTTATGATCTCTTTATATAACATACCCAAATATAAAACACACATTATGATCTCTTTATATAACATACCCAAGTATAAAACACACTTTATGATCTGTTTATATAACATAAGTATAAAACACTTTACGATCTCTTTATATAACATACCCAAATATAAAACACACATTATGATCTCTTTATATAACATACCCAAGTATAAAACACACTTTATAATCTCTTTATATAACATACCCAAATATAAAACACACTTTATGATCTCTTTATATATCATACCCAAGTATAAAACACACTTTATGATCTCTTTATATATCATACCCAAGTATAAAACACATTTTATGATTTCTTTATATAACAAACCCAAGTATAAAACACACTTTATGATCTGTTTATATAACATACCCAAGTATAAAACATACTTTATGATATCTTTATATAACATATCCAAGTATAAAACACATTTTATGATCTATTTATATACCCAAGTATAAAACACATTTTATGATTTCTTTATATAACATACCCAAGTATAAAACACACTTTATGATCTGTTTATATAACATACCCAAGTATAAAACATACTTTATGATCTATTTATATACCAAAGTATAAAACACATTTTATGATCTCTTTATATAATATACCCAAGTATAAAACACATTCTATGATCTGTTTATATAACATATCCCAGTATGAAACACATTTTATGATCTGTTTATATATCACGATACCTTTAGCTCTTACTGTAGAGAATTGAGTTCTTCCTTTTATTAACTTTATAAGTTTCGCGCAAAGCTACACAAAGGGCTATTTGACCCCAGCCGTCCCTAATTTTGAGCTGTTTTTCCAACATATATTTGCTTAGAGCAATTACTAGATAATACATAAATAGCATTATGTGAATTACAACTAAATCTATAGCTTATAAAAAATATTTTCTCCCCGGTAGGGCCTGTAATATATTTAATGTATGTAATATAACCTTTTCCACAAATATAATATCAGATTTATTTACTTTATTTCTCTGATTTAAGAAAGCTTACATATTTTTAGGTTGTCTTTGTGATAATATGATTTCTATATTTCAAACTTAGTTTTTGAGAGTTTTATCTGAAATTCTTTCCTATTCTTTTTGGATATTATTAATATTAATTTTAACTCCAGGTAATATGTTATTATGAAACTAATAATTTGTTCTTTTTTTATATTATTGTTAATTTCCATTTTAATCTTAGCTAACTTAAAACCTCTCTCAATTACACTTTCTGGATAATGACACTTCCTGAAGTAAGATTTTAATTCTAACCGACTGTTTTGTCGAACTTTTTCATAAACTCCAGATTTATATGCCAGAGAAACATGAGCTTTACACAAATCTTATGTCAGAAATTCAAATAATAGGCCATTACCTGTTAGTAAACACATTACAAAACGTATTATGGAAAAATATCATACTTTTGAAGAATTTTCCCAAACATTTCTATTTTGGTATTCTTCTGAAAATAAATAAGAGATTATTTTATGAAAATTACTTTATTAATAAATTTAAAACCACATTAATATGTCAACAGTAATGAATAGATTTTTATATATACTTTCCTGCTTTCTTATTGGTTCTGGGAGAGTATTTTTATGAATATATTCCGAAAAATCGAAATTAGGCCAGTCTATAATACCAATTGATTGTTTGTTTGTTTAATTAAGCACATAGCTACACAATGGGCTATCTGCCCTCTACCCAACACGGGTATCGAAACCCGGATTCTAGCGTTGTAAGTCCGCAAACATACCGCTGTGCCACTGGGGGCATCAATTTTAGAAGTTTTTCCTTTACGGTATAATCTTTCGATATTACAGAATGAGTTCCTATCGAGTTTGTAATGAATCAAAATTCAGAAAAATAATAGTTCTTTAAAATACATTTGATTTTACAAAAGCTTTTGTTATATACCAAGTGAAGGTGAGTTTTCTACTTGACATGAAAGTTCAGTTTCGTAATACGTGACTGGTAAAGATAAAAAAAAGTTCCCATTTGTTTAGGTGTAAATAAGATGTTTTTGAACAAATGAGAAAATATTAACACCTTCTTTCTTAGATTACAGATAACGTATTTTGTTGTGTATTATTCATATAGGTCACTAGCAGTTTCAGGGAAGTTTAGTGCTTCTGTCGGTGTTAAAGGAAACTACTTGTAACACAGATAAATTCTTCTCCTGTACTGTTTTGTTGTTTGATAAATCGCATGTCTAGTCCGTATAACACTATACAACAAACAGCTTGTTTGAGGCTTTTCTAATCAAGTAATCTTTCCTTATTTCGATCACTTGTTCATTATTCATATCTCAATTACCTTTTGTGGATTACGAAAACAGAGAGGCGATAACAAGTAAGCCCTCTCTGACGTACACTATCTTTCTGAGAAGTGCTCTGGGAGACATTCGAATGTGGGAGGGTCATCCCGTGGTACCACCCACATTTCAACTCGAACAGCCGGCGTGAACTAAACAAAACCCCTTTTTCTGAATATAAGTATTTGTATTTAACCACGGGATAAATTGTGGAACATCACAGGTCAGTTCTAGGACTAGTCATACGGACATTGTTTGGTTTCACAGCCAAACCTGCTCTTTCAACCGACAGCAGCTTGCATCTCTTGGACGTGAGTATCTGATGTACATTTCCCCGGCCTTTGGTAATATTTCCAACTATTCAGTTATTTCTGAAGCAAAGATAACCAGTACTAACTAAATACTTGTAAAAACATTTTCATAGATCTGTTATGATGATAGGCTTAACTATTTGTTTGATTTTAGTATCTTACTAACCACCCTTCACTCGTATTTATTGTGATTTTGATTAACGTATCAGTTGATGAGTAGGATAAGCTTAAGATAACCTCACTCTATTGATATCCTTCTTTCAGGTTAAGTCATTGTGTTTTCAGCCTACCAACTGGAAAATTTATCGTATTCATTGGATGGTGAGCAAAGTGTTTAAACTTATGTCACTGAAACCTTAATTTCTTATTATTGTCACTACTTGGAAGTTACAATTCTGTTTTACTGATAAGATTAACGTTTCCAGGTTCACTTCTCACTGACTACGGATATGCTGAAAGGGAAGTTAATTCTTCTTTTGCTCTTATGGCCGATCTCCTGCGCAGTTGGTAAGATTAATTATCTAGTTTATTACTATTAAAGATTATTAGTTTAATTCTTTACTATTAAGGACTACTTATCTAGTTCATTACCATTAAAGATTATTAGTCCAGTTATTTACTATTAAGGACTATTTATCTAGTTTATTATTATTAAAGATTATTAGTTTAATTTTTTACTATTAAGGACTACTTATCTAGTTGCATTACCATTAAAGATTATTAGTTCAGTTATTTACTATTAAGGACTATTTATCTAGTTCTTTGCTATCAATTATTATTTAGCTATTTATTTACTATTATGGACTATTTATCTAGTTCTTTGCTATCAAGTATTATTTAGCTATTTATTTACTATTATGGACTATTTATCTAGTCCTTTGCTATCAAGTATTATTTAGCTATTTATTTACTATTATGGACTATTTATCTAGTTCTTTGCTATCAAGTATTATTTAGCTATTCATTTACTATTAAGGACTATTTAGATATTTATTTACTATTACGGGCCATTTAGGTGTATTGACTAAAATGTACAAAAATCTTATCATCGAGAATAAAGAAATTATATATTTATCTAGACGTGAGGATTCTGTTCTAATGACTATACTAATTATCAATGAATTCCACATTAAACAAGACATAGAAAAGTTTGAATGCGTCAACATTTTGTAAAATTATCACATGTACGTATAGTATAACGACAAATTGAAAATATTTTTAGCATGTCTCAGAATCGAACCTGAACCACGTGCTAGTCAGCAATCTCTCTCTCTATATATATATTTATATATATTAATGTGTGGATGTATTCAGAGAACACGTATCCGTACAACTGATATACACGAGCTAGAAGAGGTTGGTTGTATGTTTGTATTATACTTCTGTAGGTATGGAAGATGATGAACTCTCTCTCATAACGAACACCTGGAAAACGAACACAGAAAAACGAAACAGTAAGTTTAGATACCATAAAATGGTTGGATGGTTGTTGTAAGTATTCGCGCAAAGCTACACAAGAGCCACCTGGGAGTCGCTAATTTTGAACTGATAGGTTAGAGCGAAGACATCAAATCTTGGTCTTCTATTATCTGATCGAATAATGGGGCTTGACAGTAACTCTCATAACGCATCTCCAAAGGACAGAACGCGATCCATGGAGCATCAGGTTAAAAAAGTTTATTGAAGCAATGAACTAAAATTATTTTCACCTAATTTTGCCTCCTAGTGGCACAGCGGTATGTCTGCGAACTTACAGCGCTAGAATCCGGGTTTCGATACCGGTGGTTGGCAGAGCACAGATAGCCCATTGTGTAGCTTTGTGCTTAATTACAAACAAACAAACATGACCATATGAAAATCGGAAGGTTCTCAGTTTTCATTTCTTTAGAGAGTATAATGTTGATTTACGATTGAAATGTTTGTGCTTATAAGTATTTAGCATACAGTTTAGAAAATTAAACAAGAGGGACTCCTCAATAGCCACGGCACATGAAATTCTTTTAGACAGAATTAGAGTAAATTAATCTATGAGATCTTTTTTTTCCTTTTTTATTAGCTATATTTTTGTGCTCCAGCAATACTAAGGGTGGGGGGGGGGCGTATACCTGATTCAATTTTATTGCTCATCAGGATCTCTATCAGCCTACCTTCAAAATGAAATTCTTCTAGGCAGGATTAGAGTAAATTAATCTATGAGACCTTGAGCGTGGTCAAATATGTCAATCGAAAGTGTTTGACCTCTTGAGTCCAAAACTGTAATTAGATCTTAAATCGGTCAAGAGATGACTGAGCTATGAGCTAAAAGTTTGTAATTAAAAAACAAAAAAAAATACTCGTAGCCTTTTTATGAGCCGCGGCTAAAAAACACAAGAATATGTGACTCGACTTAAAACTAGTACTTTTCCTATTTCAGAAGAATTTAAATTTCTAAGTACTGAATGGAATTACACTGAACTATCTTATCAAATTAAAATGACCAAATCGTCCAGAAATTAACTCATATTTTATTGAACACAAAATTCTGAGCCTTCTGACGGAAATGTACGTAGAATAATAAAAGCAAAATTCCTGTATTCAAGTCTTTGGGTTACGTAAAAATGGGTTTTCTGGAACATTAATTTATTTGAATTGCTTTAACAGTTTTATTTTATTCTTATTTCATTCTGAAGTTATATACTTGACTGTTTTTATATCCAATTCATTATTTTCACAGCTTGGTGGAGTAAAAAATCGGTTCCAGAAGCACGATCTAACTGTAAGTATTTAATTCTAAACGCTTGGGGTTTCAACTAGGAAGATAAATTGATTTTTTTTTGCATGAATTTAAACAACTGTATAGATACTTCATCAGTTACTGTAATAGTTGTTCATCATTACGAACTGAAATAAAAGCAAAAATTATACATTTCTACAACAGTTTTTATTCACCAATTTCTCCGTTGTGATTTAACATGAACATGTGAATCACGAAGCATGAAACAGAAAGTAAAACTACATAATATATATTAATTATACATAAAGTTATACTAGAAACTTCCATCCTTTTGATGGGTGTTTTACAACGAATATATTTTTAAGTTATTAGTTATGTGTTTTATATGGAGTTGAGAATCTCATTATCACTAAACGAAAATATAAGTTGATATTCCTGGATCACTGAAGGTACGTTATAAAAAAAAGGATAAGTTTTTAGGGTCTATATTTGATTTTTATGACCTTCTGATGTGCAACTAGCCATATCTGTTTCTTTGTGCTTCTGATGTGCAACTAGCCATATCTGTTTCTTTGTGTTTCTGATGTACAACTAGCTATATCTGTTTCTTTGTGTTTCTGATGTACAACTAGCTATATCTGTTTCTTTGGGATTCTGATGTACAACTAGCCATATCTGTTTCTTTGTGTTTCTGATGTGCTACTACACATATCTGTTTCTTTGTGCTTCTGATGTGCAACTAACTATATCTGTTTCTTTGTGTTTCTGATGTGCTACTACACATATCTGTTTCTTTGTGCTTCTGATGTGCAACTAACTATATCTGTTTCTTTGTGTTTCTGATGTACAACTAGCCATATCTGTTCCTTTGTGCTTCTGATGTACAACTAGCTATATCTGTTTCTTTGTGTTTTTGATGAGCTACTACACATATCTGTTTCTTTGTGCTTCTGATGTGCAACTAGCCATATCTGTTTCTTTGTACAGTGGACATGTTTAACGAAGATAGCAGCTTATGTTCCAGCGTTGTGAATGCCGTCGGTAAGTTTCTGCTATCTTCATAAACATCATAATACAATGATATTAAAGTATCTAGGAAAATTCTTCAGATCTAAAACTGATCCATTCTGATATTCCTTTAATATTTTTCATTACCATTTAAAAATCCTGTTAAATATAAGCAAAATGACGTTGATTTGAATGTTATTTCGAATATTTATCTGTAGCTTCAGGAAATACCGAGCTTATTGAACAGAAAAGCTGCTGATTTATTGTTTTGATTGGTTTGTTTTAATGCTTTTATCAGCAGAGAAGTAGTATATGAGAAACAAGAATTCTTAAAAGGCTTCAGTCAATATCTACTGCTCCTGCAATTTTGATTCAGTTTAGTTAAAAAAAAATGAAGCTTTCATTGCTTCGGAAACTTTTAAAAACATTTAAGTATAAACGTTTGTCTCTTTCCAGCTTCAGCTGTTTTTTTCTATACAAAATTATTTTAACTCTGTGTTTCATTAGTGACTCAAGAAATATAAACCATTCTTTGCTCATGAACTTCCTACGAACTTTCGAGATACTTAGCTACCGACGAGTCCTAAACCCTTAATATTTTTCGTTCAAACTATAAATATAGGAGCAAAAAAAGTTCTAATTATATATCTGATTTCATTAACGACATGGTGTTTTGTTACTGCATTTTTTCAACTTTTTATACATCACTAGTAACTTTCTTATAACTCATTTAATACTTATAATAAACTTATCTAAAGATACAGATTATAATTTTAACAAAACTGCATTTTTTGACGTTTAACTACTCTTCTCTTACCTCTTATAGGTTGTTATATTGACAGCTGTGTCCCAACTTTTCTCGAGTGCTGCCGCCTGGCGGAAAGTAGGCCAGCTTTTCTCCGCTGCAAGCAGACTCATCGCAACTGTATTGTTAGCTGTTTTCGGGACTCGAAGAAACTCTTGGCTTATGCTAATGCTCTTCATTGATTTAAACAATAACTTTAATTGATAAGAAGAAAGAAGATTGATCCAACACAAAAATAAATAAATATATATATATAAAGGTTGTTTTACAAATAAAATGTTTAAAAACATGCTAACTACACATAGAAAATAAAAACTATTTGTGTTTTACTGACCACTGGTAATGTACTAATAAATTTGAATTCTGCAACTCTATATTTGTCCAGAAGTCTTTGGAACAAGTTTTATTTACCTCATACAATGTTTGAACAATGAAGCGTTTACAGTTCAGTTACAATCAAAAAAGTATTGAAAACAAAATTAAACAATTCCAAAAATCTTGCTAAAGTACTTGATGTTTGTTTGAATTTCGAACTAGCCGTCCCTAACTTAGCAGTGAAAGACTAGAGGGAAGGCAGCTAGTCATCACCACCCACCGCCAACTCATGGGGTACTCTTTTACCGCCAAATTATAACGCCCCCACTCATGTTTGATGGGACGGGATTCGAACCCGTGACCTGCAGATTGCGAGTCGAGCACTCTTACGAAATGTAAAGAGTATGTACGAAGGTTATCTGCTACTGTCCCTAACTTAGAACTACTGATCAAAGGCACACTACCACCCACGCTTATGACCCACCCACATCTTAAAGTACAAGGGATATTTTTGGGTTTCACACGGATTCGAACCCAGCTTGCCAGCTACGAAATTCAGACTTCTATCACAGAGCCCAAGAGAAAGAAAGCATCAGCACTAATTCTGGCTTAAAATTTGAAAGTATACATTTGACAGTCGTTCCATTTATGAAGTACTTCGGGCCTGGCATGGTCAGGTGATGTATTGTGAAACACAAGTTCACGTTAGGTTACAGACGCTACATCACGGCTGTACCTGTGGATGTGATAAACACATCTCCTACAGGTCAGTTGTGACAGATAACATCCAGAATACAAAAATCATCAAAATCGCATCGATTGATAAGACAGTGGCGTTTAATCAGTGTAGAATATATCATATGGAAAATACTTAGGTTTTCTGAGATTACAAAAAAAACAACAACATATGACGCAGCTGGGATGGACACACACCTCAAAAATGTGTAAAGTAAGTTTGTTAAAACCGTTAGCTAAAGTACTGATAATGTAATAATAGGTTCCAATTTCGTCGATGTTGAAATAATTCATTTGTGGAAACCAAACAAATTATTTGGATTTTTGTGGACGTATATCGCAAAAACAACGGATTTATTTCTGTTTTTGAAATTATCTAAATATGTACTTGTAGCGTTAGAATAAAACTATTTAGATAAAAACAAAGAGTTTGTTTGTTTCTGGATTAAGAAGTTTGCCATAAATTAATCATTGATAAAATATACAGACGCTTTAAATATCTCTAACAACATGCAATATACATTGTCATGTAACACTGAGCAAGATGTAGAGAAAAAAAAAAAAAGAAACACAATGGTCATAAACTTATAATCTGTAGTTCGAACAAAACGGAGTATTATAGAAAAACCAAAACAGACAAGCTTAACTGAAATGTCATCCTACAATCAATATAATGTAGAAGCATCAGCGATGACGCCCAAAGAATTTAATAAAATTCAAGCCTGTTCTTTTCTTATAATGCCATGAATTCAAGTCTGCAGGTAACTTATATACAAGAAACTTCATAATATAAAGAAACAGATATAATTACCCATTCACTTATAGATCAAAGCCGGTCTGTTTGATGTAATATTATGTTTTAGATATCGTGTTGTTTGTATGGTTCGTGTCGGCGCAATCTGGTTGATTTTAATGTGCCCCCCCCCCAAATAAAACAGAAAATTTCTTTTTTGAGCCTCTTACAAAAGTCTTTAAAATACATGACAATATATGGGCACGGAGTGTTATTAAAGCATTTGGCAGATTTCATAATAAACCAGCATTTTCCTTACGTTATAAAGTATAGTATTCTATTCTTTAAAGTACCATCTACGTAGATCTGTAAACTGATAACATTTCTGTATTTATCTTTTTTTCTCACTTGCTTAGGATCTGCTCTAATAGACTGTTTACGCGAAAAATTATATTTATGGTTGAAAGTATACAGGTAGAGATAGAGAAACTTCAACCTACACCAGTTGTCGAAACAGACGTTCATAATATCTACGCAGTCAAATAAACAAGGGAGAAAAATTCAGCATATCAATACAAGTTCTCTTAACAAGGTGAGAGACGTTTCTAGTGTCTTCGTGGTGTTCTAAGAAGTGTTTTATATTTATTTGCACATTTCAATATAGATTTATATTATGCAGTTGAATAAACGGGGTGAGCGGAATATCTCTGTACAATTCATTAAAAAGTGAAGAGATGTTAATCTAGATTTGCACGCCACATTTCACATGATGTTATGATATCTATTTACGTTCATAATATCCACACCGTTCTCTGAACAGGAGAGAGAAGTTTATAATATCTACACCAGTTGTCGAAACGGACGTTCATAATATCTACACCAGTTGTCGAAACAGACGTTCATAATATCCACACCGTTCTCTGAACAGGAGAGAGAAGTTTATAATATCTACACCAGTTGTCGAAACATACGTTCATAATATCCTGTTTCGACAACTGGTGTAGATATTATGAACGTCTGTTTCGACAACTGGTGTAGATATTACGAACGTCTGTTTCGACAACTGGTGTACATATTATAAACTTCTCTCTCCTGTTCAGAGAACGGTGTGGATATTATGTACTTCTCTCTCCTGTTCAGAGAACGGTGTGGATATAATGTACTTCTCACTCCTGTTCAGAGAACGGTGTGGATATTATGTACTTCTCACTCCTTGGTTAAAAAACTACATCTGTGATTAAATTCTCTCTCTCGTTCTGCTGTTTAGGGAATTGTGTAGACATCATGAGCTTCTCGCTATCTACTCTTTATTGAAGTGTGTAGATCTGATCAGCTTCTCTCTCTTTCCTCGTTATTGAGGTGTGTAGACCTGATCAGCTTCTCCCTCTTTCCTCTTTATTGAAGTGTGTAGACCTGAGCAGCTTCTCCCTCTTTCCTCTTTATTGAAGTGTGTAGACCTGATCAGCTTCTCTCTCTTTCCTTTTTATTGAAGTGTGTAGACCTGATCAGCTTCTCTCTTTTTCCTTTTTATTGAAGTGTGTAGACCTGATCAGCTTTTCTCTCTTTCCTCTTTATTGAAATGTATAGACTTGACCAGCTTCTCTCTCTTTCCTCTTTATTGAAGTGTGTAGACCTGACCAGCTTCTCTCTCTTTCCTTTCTATTGAAGTGTGTAGACCTGATCAGCTTTTTTCTCTTTCCTCTTTATTGAAGTGTGTAGACCTGATCAACTTCTCTCTCTCTCTTTCCTCTTTATTGATCAGCTTCTCTTATCTCGAGTGGAGAATTGCAAAGGTATGAATTTCTCTTATTTGTCGTCAGTGGAGTGGTAGAGAATCGTTTTGCACATTTCGTAAATGAATCTCCCAAATGTGTATACAGTTCTGATTCTAGTCATCTTTATAAGCTTATTTGTAACTCCCAACTAGAAGTTTTCATCGAAACTTTGAAATGTCGTTGTTATCTTAATCGCAAATTACAAGTAACTCTTCTATACAGTAAGGTACTGTGGAAGACAAGAATAATACACAAAAGCTCCCACTTTTTAAACGATTAAAAATGTATTATAAGTTTCGAAATTAATAATCTCAAATCCTCTATATACTCAGTGGACTCAATCTGTAAACAAATAGATAAATGTTTGGTTCTGATCTACGAAAGAAGCTTGCTTTGATTAAAAGTTAATAGGTGTACATGTAGAGTGAATTTTTGTTTTTTATTCTAATTTCATTGTTGGTTTTAGAAACTTATTACTTCATTTTCTATGTTCATTTTCTATGCTTGACAGAAGAACACTTGTGTGATATTCCTTCGACAACGAAAGAAAAAGTAAATAAAACAGTTCCCATCGTAATGAAGATTATAATTGTGACACAAAATGTACTGATACTTTGAAATTTTGACATTACTTAAAGAAGAAAAAATAATTTATTATTAAAAATCGTCCCGACTGCAGCCATATCTGGCCACTTTGAGTCAGCCAGTATAGAAACCGCCTTATATATTTAAAGAGTAATAACTCATTAAGACCTTTATGAGAACCAAGGGATCTCATCAATCACATTATCAAATAAGCTTTATAGCACTCTTCTCGACGTCAGAAACGTAGAAAGCTTCCCTCAACTAATAAAAATTTAACATTCCTCTGTAGTAATGATATTGTAAAGATGTAGTTTTAACTCCCCGTCTCTGTAATACATGTGTGTGTGGCTTGATTGAAGTTGTACTGCTTAAGCTTAAAAGATCTGTTTGTTTCGAATATTCGCGCAAAGTAACATTAAGGCTATCTGCGCTAGCTGTCCCTAAGTTTGAACCGATAGACAAGGAGGGAATTCAGCTACTAGAAAACAGCGCCAACTTTCAAATCTTGAGTTATTCTAATCGAGTAGTGGAATTTAACCGTCACTTTTATAACGCACCCACAAGTCCAAATCGCGGATCGCGATTTTGTGGCAACAGGACCCAAACCACGGACCCTCGGATTCACAATTCAGTACGCTAATACCGAAGCCACACCTGCCCTCTTGAAAAGTTTCGTTCACAAGAACGGGAAAAGCAGCTGAAACCTATTTTAGGAATAATTATTAAATTAAATTTTATTATTTTTGCTTCTAACGTACTATTTAAACTGTGGACACGAAATAAGAATACTTTCCTCCACAGACATCACACGTATACTAAGACATGCTATAAAGATGGTTTGTTTCTTTGTTTGTTTGTGATTAATCGCAAAGCTACAGAATGGGCTATCTGTGCTCTGCCCACCACGGGTATCGAAACCCGGCTGCTAGCATTGTAAGTCCGCAGACATATCGCTACGGGGGGGGGGGGTATAAAGATGGTAATTAGATGACGTTCATGGAGTTTCAGCAGATGGATAGTTCTAATACTAATATAGATCTTTGGTAGGGTTGGGCCTTTAACACCACCATTTATTTGACCATAAATACTGTTGTCAACGTTTACCAG